CCCCAAAACCCCAAAACCCCAAAACCCCGCAAGCTGTTATATAAAAATAGTTCTATGAATTAATTAAATGAGGAATAGTAATTGAATTAATATCAAAATGAATAGTACAAATCCATACTCTTAAGATCAAAATTAGATTAATCAAAATTTAGCCAGTTCTATGACTAGTAGCAAAGACTTCTCGACTGGAAACCAAGCTAACAATAGTACTCAATTGCATATAATTACTTATTTATGAAATTAGATGGAACAGATGTTTAATGGTTTGTTTTCGAGACTAGAATCAGAAAGATTATCAAAGAGCTGCTAGAACCCACAGTTAGAAAGTACTCTTTTAAAATTGAGATAACTCTATGAATAGGCAAAAAGATCAAAAGATGAACATCGATTAGTTCCATATGTCTTTGGATATGCAGAAGCGGAAGCTGGATGAGCACGACTTTGTTATCTAGAAAATGTAGAAAAGAACTGCTAGCTTTGAGGACTTTCAAAAGAAAATTCATGAACTTGACACTGAGAGGAAAATACTTGAGAGCAAGCTGAGTTTAGAGATCTCAAATGTCAGAGCTCTCAATGGGGCTCAGGGAGAGAAGATCAGACTTTGTAGCTCAGATATAGAGCAATTTGTAAGAAAAATATAAGTGGGTGCTTAAAATGAATTAATATTTTTAGGAGAAGCAAACCACGATAATTTAGGATGAAGTTAGGCGTTATCAGGAGAGCTTGATTGATTACAAGGAAAAGATCAATAAAACCGTGACATCTATTCACTAGGATATGGCTACAACTGTAAATGCTATGAAGATCAAGGTAGAAGCTGCCTCTGGCTTAGAGTCTCATTTCACTACTCAAGTCAAGCATCTTACTGAAGAACTTAAAAAGATTGATCTCTCCTACGAATAGGAGAAATTACAAAATATGAAAATAATCCAGAGATTTATAAAAAAGGTTAACAAAATAAAATCCCAATCCTTTGAATCGAGCAACCTAGTTAAGGAATTCGATGCTCTTCTCAAGACCTAAGATAGAAAGATGGCAATGAATAATAATCTTACTAGTACTGTGCATAACTTTATAGAAAAAACTGACAAGTACCTAGCCTTATTTCTTCCAGTCTAGATTTTGAACTAAATTGCTGAGGCAATGCACTCTACCCTAGAAGGAAGGCCATTTAATAGACTTATCATGTATGAGTAGAACAAGTATTCAGAATTGGAGAACTTTATCAACAACAATGATATGACTTAATTTAGCAAGGAACAGTACAAGATACCAATCCTTCCAGATTTCGTAGATGATAACTAATATATATAGACACCATATCAAAAAGGAAATGGCGAAAACAAAAATCAGTAAGATGCCCATTCAAAGGATGAGAGCTAGCTGAAAGTAGACACCCTGAGTGATAGGATAAGTAATGATAACAACAACTACAAATCAAAGTATCCCAAGTCATACATTCAAGATCATGATGAGAGACTTATAGTGGAAAGACATAACCAGTTGAGAAATCTTAATGCAAGAGAGAAGTCGAAGTTAAAGCCAGACACATTCACTGAGATCTCAGGACGACACAAAAAGGGAGATGATACTATAAGTGACGGAGAGAATACTCATAAGTACCACAAATCTTTGTACAATCAAAAAAGTAGACTAGAACATTAAATAAACAAGCAGACTTCAGTTAAGGTGGGAGAGTATCTGAACTAGCATTTCTCAGAAACAGCCTAAGCTACAAGAGTCAAGATCGCCAAGAAGTTGACTCATAAAGTGCAAATAAGGGCTAACTAGCCAGAGAGCTAGTATTCATATATTGAAAGTGAAAAAATCAAGAGTAACACAAATAACACTAATAACTAAGAAGAGCTTAAACCAGGAATGACTATTCCGCAGCTGTCATCTAATCAGAGCAGACAAAGCGGGATCTAAATTGTTGACTAGAGTTCATAAAATACTAATCTTCAACAATAGTAATTACTGCCACCACCAAATCAATAATCAAGAATTACTCTTTCTAAGATACTAAGTGATACCAACCTTAGCACTCATCAGCATAATTAGGAGTCATAACAAAATTAAAGCCAGCTGTAAGAGCATTCCAGGACTCCCTCAATTACAGCCATAAATCCAAATGGCCGAAGAACTACCTTGCAATTGAATGATATGGGGGATAAGAATCAAGAGCACTTGCTCCCTTCATTCAAAAAGCATAACGAGTCTCAAATGAAGTCAAACATTGAAGATCAGTAAATACAAGAGGAAATGTCATCAGAATCAAGTAAATCAGCCAAATCTAAATCAAGTGTCAATCAACAAGATAAGGGTGAAGGAGATGACAATGATAAGACTTCACTGAATAAAGAAGACGTGATTACCGAGACATAAAGTCCCCAACCCAATAGAGAAGGGTAAAACATTCAAGAGCACAATAAATCCTCGATATTTGAAAATACCTCTCGTTTTAATTCACTTCGAGCTTAATATAGTCAGCAAGTAACCTATCCTAAGAATTCTATATTAGGAAGTTAGGAATAAATAATAATGAGAGAATTTGATGTCCATACCTTATTGGCTAATTAGGACTTTGTAGCTAAGCTAAAAGAACTATTTTAGCCAATGATAGATGATTCCTTAGAAGAAGTGGCGGAGCAAATCGACTAGAATATGGATTTTCTTGAATAGAAATTTACAGTGTTCAACAAAGCTATAGAGATGTAGTCGAATTCCTTTGAGGAACAGCTTGATATCAAGGAAAAAGACATCTATTAAATTATGGATGACTTGAAAATTCAAATAGAGAGTGAAGTCAAGAGAAGAGCAAGAGCACATAACGACTTTATGCTAGACAATAGAAAGGCATTGACTTAAGTTAAGGATAACTAGTAGAACATTGAGATTATGAAAAATTAGATAAGGATTCAAACTGAGATTTTAGGTTGTCTCATTGAGAGTCTAATTATTGAAAGCCAACTTGATATTCAAGATGAACATGATAAAGAGTAAGATAATCATTAAGTTTTTATATATTATTGTTAGATAGATTGCTCTCTATGGCAAGAATAATGAAGATTCAAACAAGAGTCTGAATAATCTAGGCAGCAAAGTAGATGCAGCTACTTCTCCAGACATTACCTAGAGATTCGCATTAGACTAAAACTGTCTATCTTGCACTAATTAGCCATAAGTAAGTATAAACACTTAATTAAAACAAATGCTTTAGTTGATTCATAGAGCTTTGAAGCTTGCCTGTTTAAGATATCAGCCTTCAGATATCAAATACAAAAATGTGGTTTTAACTAGAAAAGCTTTGATAAAATTGAACTCGTAACTAATAAGTAATGCCTAAATCAAGCTACTAAATGAAGATATGACTCTCAGTGATTACTACTCTAAAAGCATTGAGCATATCATAATGCAAAATAATCAATAAAATTCTTTATTAAGATTGCAGAAAAACTAGAAGCACACGAGGAATATAGCCTAGACTACTACTTAGATTAGTAAAGATCCCTATAGCTAGATGGGTATAAAGTTCAATTATAAGAGTAATTATAACAATAACAGCACTCTGGATAATTTCAACACAAGCATTGGAATGGATGATATCTTTAATGCCTCAAAGGTTTCATATAATAGATCGCACATTGATGCTATGACTAATGGCATTATAAATGATTAAGATTCAACACTCATAAATTCTCATAAAAGGCTTTCAAAGAATATTTTGATACCTCTTTCAAACCAAATTGCTACAAGAAATCTACATAAGGACCCTTATGATATGTAATTTGTTAGATTCTAAACAGCAGTGGGTAAGAATCGTGATCATTCTAATTTTCACATGGGAATAAGCTAGATGAATCAAAGCTTTCATTCCTCATCTCGGATGATGGATGAAAAAGATGCTAAATAAAAAAGCAGCAATAACAGAGCCAATACAAGCATGGGAGTGATGAAGACTGAATATGCAGGTTTCTTCAGCTAGAATGATCCGCTTAGTAAAAGAAGGAAATTGATACTTGATTAGAGAAACTAGCAAACTGGTAGACAGATAATGTAGAATTAGAAACTCAACAGTATAGCAATGTAAAGAACACCAGAGAAAAAGAACCAGTCAAGTCATAATCAAAGCATGGATCAGATAATAGTCGAAGGCAGAAATAAACTCCAAGAATTGCACAGTTAGTAAATGAGACCATTAATATAGAGAGATCAAAAGCATGTTAGGACTAAGAAGAGTGGTGATCAAATATTTCAAAATTGAAAGTCAATTCCTGTTCTGATTAAGATTTTAAAACTTAAAGTTAATTTCATAAATTATGATGCATTAATTATCTAATCATAACTTCTTGACACTTCTTGCCAGTTCTGCTGCATATCCAATATAGCTTTATGGAGTTAAATCTCTAAGCATTTGCTTTTCAACCTCTGGCAAGGCAAGTTATTCAACAAACTTTAGGTAGTCACTCTTTTCAACCTTTTTGCCTCTTGTGAATTCCTTAAGTAATTCATATGGATTTGGAATATCATATTTTCTCATCACTGTCTATACTGGCTCAGCCAACAATTCGTAATGACTGTCAAGCTCATTCTTTAATACTTCCTCGTTTATTTCAACTCTTGACAATCCCTTCTCCAAAGCCTTAACAGATTACATGGTATAGCTAAATGCTACTCCAATATTTCTCATTACTGTTGAATCACTTAAATCTCTTTAGAATCGAGATATTGGAAGTTTTTATGCGAAGTGAGTGAACAAAGCATTAGCCATTCCCAGGTTACCCTCAGCGTTTTCAAAGTCTATAGGGTTTATCTTATGAGGCATAGTTGATGATCCGATTTCTCCCTTGACATTCTTTTGCTTGAAATATCCCAGAGAAATGTAAGACCACATGTCTCTGCTGAAGTCAATAAGAATTGTATTCGTCAGAGAGATATTCAAAGAAATTTGAGCAATTGTATCATGAGGTTCAATTTGAGTAGTGTATGGATTCCACTCAATGCCAAGACCTTCTACGAATTTCTAGGAAATCTTGAGCCAGTCTCTTTCTGGATAAGCTACTTTGTGTGCATTTAGATTTCCAACAGCTCCATTGAACTTGCCAGTTGGAATAATCTTCTCAAGTTCCTTGAGTTATCTATTGATTCTGTATGCAAAGTTTGCTAGTTCTTTGCCGACTGTAGTTGGAGTGGCTGACTGACCGTGAGTTCTTGACATCATGGGAATTTCAGCATATTGCTAGGCCAAAGAATCAAGCTTGCCGAATAAATTCTGCATACTAGGAATAACAACCTCCCTTAAAGAATGATGAACCATCAAAGCATATGCTAAGTTGTTAATGTCCTCTGATGTGCATGAAAAATGGAGATATTCCTTATATTTAGCTAGACCCTCCTTGTTAAGGTCAAATTTCTCCTTGAGGAAATATTCGATAGCCTTGACATCATGATTTGTAGTTGCTTCAATCTGCTTTACTCTCTCAGCATCCTCAAGTGAGAACTCAGAGAAAATCTTATCAAGGAAAGGTTGTTGTTCTATTATGAATTAGATTTCTTTGTCGCTGAAGCCAGTGATTTGTTCCTAGAAAAGTCTCTTAAACCATTCCAGCTCAACGAAGACTCTATATCTCATAAGAGCATATTCAGAGAAGAAATTTCTTAATTCGTGGGACTGTCTTGCATATCTGCCATCTATTGGTGAGATAGCAGTAAGCTAATTGATCTAAGTAATTTTTTGAGTTGAGAAGAATCTTGATTCCATAGCGAATAGTAAGTTAGCAGGCCGCAGAAGCTTCTGTTACTGTTTTAAGATATATTTAAGACTTTGCATCTTTATTTATATTTAATTGAATTGATTTGAGTTTTAATTTATGAAATGAAGGAAAACTTACAAATAGCAATTAAAGTACACATTGATACTCCTCTTAAATTAATTCATATATAGAGATTAAGCATACAAAGAGAAAAGCTTTACCTACTGATAAAGCTAAAGAAAACAGAAGAGGCAAAGTAAAAATCTAAGAAGCTAGTTCATTTGCTATGCAGTTTGGTAAATAAAAAGAATGTTTAAAGTTAATATTTGATTTAGTCAATTCTACTTTTGATCAATAAGAATTATGAAAGTTTTCAAGAGCAATTTGATTTGACTGTAAGATACTCGAAACCTTTTGCTATATTACTATAGTTAAGAACATTGAAGATATTTTATCACCTTCACTAGGATGAGAAGGGTATTAAGTGGAAAAAGCAGATTGTTATCTTTAATGTGATAGCAATGGCTCTTTTGAAAAGTAAAAAATATAAAAATGCATTAAGAATGATTTCTCTATCATAATCTGTCGCATCATTGTATTATATTTTTACTTTTGACTATATCTACTTAGCATTGATGATTAGAAAGAAAGCAACTTAGATTATCATTTATCAATAAGTATGCTAACATCATACTCGTTACTTATGATTGGAAAATTAAGCGAGTCTTACAATTTTCTAGTATAATCTGAGAAGATGTTAAATAAACTTCTGTAAAAGCTTCCCACAAGTACACATCAAAGAAAAAAGAAATAAGAATAAACATCGCTAGATATGATATCTTTGAATGATAGTTTCACAAGTTCACCTCTAAGCCTCATTGCTTAACTCGAAAAGAATGGGAAAACTCATTAATCCAAATTGAACAAAACAACGCTTTCTAACTACATTCTTTCAATATCATTAATGAAAAACATCACTCTTAGATTCGCAAATTTTAAATTATATTAGACTGAATCGATGGCTTAAATTTCAAGAATATTGGAGCTAGAAAGTAAGTATGGACTTAATTCTTCAAACCCTGAGGTGGGAGTGAGCTTTTTAGTTAACTAGCATATAAAAGAGATCTTAGATAAATATAGCGATTTCCAAGAAGTTTTAAGATTAACTTTTACTAAGGAGTTCAATAAGATGATTCTGGCTTGTATCTTCATGCCTTTTCTACATTAGGAAACTCCAATTATAATTAGAATCCAAAAATCTGAACTGAAGCTGGAATTTCTAAGGCCAAATCCAGATCTAATTCAAACTATTCTGAAAGTTAGATAAGATATAATAGATGGAATTACTAAATAATAAGCTAATAGCTATATGAGTAACTCAATCCTCAATAGTAAGCCTATGGTGGGAATACCAGAAACTGATCCATTCAACGAGGACGATGAAGATTAAATAACTATTGAGAGATCGATTGATACCGTCTAAAACCCAAATAATATATCTATTGTAACAAATAATAACATCAATCTAAATAAGCTCAAGACTAAATCTAAAATAGAGAATGCATATTCTGATTTTGATGGGTAATCATCTTAAAATGAATTTAGCAGACATGATAGTAAAATAGAAAATGAACAGTAAAAGCAGATACTTGCCGCTTCGCACTTCACCAACACGAGGTAATCCTTTTATCAGTCAAATAATCAAAATATTACTCCTGTAAACAGAGGAAGCATATCGTTATCAAAGCCTAAATCTCAAAGTATGAATCAGAGAGGTAGAAGAAATATAACTCATTACAATATCTATGGCACTTAGCCTCCGTAGCAATTGAATTAAAGCTCAGTTAATTACTATTAAACTTAGCCAAAGGAAGTCGATAGTAAATTCATTCTAAGATACTCTCTTCAGTCAAATGATCAGTAGAAAATAACTCTGAACAGTGAAAACAGCGTGAGATCACCTAAACTATCACAGTCAAAGGAAACAACAAGCAAACCTACTAATTTGACTACTGGTAGACTTTATCAGAATATTGCAACACAATAAGTTTATGCTTAGAGACTCTAGCAAAGAAGTGAATAGAAGGAAAAGTTTTATGCTGATTAGCTAGTCAAGAAATATTAGAGTGACCCAATAACCAATTTGAAAATGAGAAATGAAATTGAAAATAGAATAACCTAGATTTTGGATTCATCAGCCAATAACTTTTCAATGATATACAATCATCCAAAATTGCTAAATCAGTTTCTTGCTAAAGAAAGGTCTAACTCATATGGAGCTAGATCTAAAAATTAGTAAACAAGGAATACAATGAATGCCATTAAAAGCCCATTTAGAAACCTTAATCTTTTGTCTCAATAAAACATGAGACTCAATTAAGGTAGCATAAGTTGAAGAATAGAGATAAATAATAAACCATAGTTATTTGAGCAACTGGCTTAATTGAATTTTATATTGAATTGAATAGAATATTATTAGATGATTATATTAATTGTTATTAAGTTAAGTTAAATAGTATTTGATTGAGCTTTAAAGAATATAATCATTATGAGCTCATTCCTTTTAATCAGATCACTGGAGAGCCTTTATCTTTTGAGAAAGCTCTGGGATAACTTTGAACAGATCATCAACTAAACCATAATTTGCAACCTTAAAGATTGCTGCTTCAGGATCTTTGTTAATGGCAACAATTACCTTTGAATCCTTCATACCTGCTAAGTGCTAAATGGCTCCACTGATGCCAACTGCAATATAGAGATCAGGGGCAACGACCTTTCCTGTTTATCCAATTTGCATATCATTAGGAACAAATCCAGCATCTACAGCAGCTCTTGATGCTCCAACAGCGCAGTGTTGCTTTCCAAGAACGTTAGCAAGCTCGTAAAGGATCTTGAAATTCTCTCCATTTTTCATTCCTCTACCCCCTGAAACAACATACTTTGCAGATCCAAGTTCGACCATTTCAGACTCTGATACATTATTCTCAAGCCATTTTCCTTGAACATTATCATTTTAAGCTGCAACTTCCTTAACCGGATAAGTGTTTGCTGATCCTGCAGCAATCTTTTCAAAATTGGTAGCTCTGATGGTCAAGATCTTAATCTTATCACTTGACGAAACAGTAGATAAAGCATTTCCAGCATAAATAGGTCTTAAGAACTATTGTCCATTATTCTATTGGAATGGTATAAAAATGCATTAAGTCTCTTACAATAACCTAAATAACATCAGTAATAGGTTGAACATCAAGAAGACCTCCTAGTCTTGGAGTGACATCCTTTCCAAAAGCAGATGTAGAAGCAATCACCTTATCATAGCTATGAGATTCTACAACTTTCTTCAGAGTTTAAGAGACATGATCTCCATATCTGTAAAGATTTTTAAGATACAATCTCATAAATAAGAGTCAATAAGATTTCAAGCTTATGGAACAACTAAACTTACGGGTTTGAAAGGTCATCAGAGGCAGAAGTTATGATTGATCTGATTCCTGGGTATTTCTAGACTTCCTCAACCTACTTTGATATACTATCTTTTCCTCCATGTACAAAAATATCGACCTAAAACCTATTAGAATAAAAGAATATACATCTGGATCATTGAATTATTTGGCAGCATTCAGCATATTTCCAAGATTTCCCAATAGATTTCCATTCAGTTGCTCAGCTAGTACTAGAGTTGCAAAGTTTCTCTGAAAATAGGTTAAGATTAGAATAAATTGTTTACCTAACTTTGGACTTGAGTGAGAAGCTGTCTATTTAGGACTTTTTATGTAGTGTTTTTGAAAAGCATTGAGAGCATTTTAATTAAGTTATTTATATTTTATAACCATTATTTTAATTTATTAGCAATTATTTTCAAAATTTCCTTGCATCTTTTAATTTCGGGGTTTTGGGGTTTTGGGGTTTTGGGGTTTTGGGGTTTTGGGG